CCATTTCTTGACGGATCCTGCTCATCTTCGAACTCGACCGAGACATTGTTAAGACTGAACTGTATAGAAAATTTCATCGCGATCGGACTCTCCTTTCAAAAGTTATCGTGTTAACGGCCGGACGGCCGGACACACTGACCGATTTTAGTAGTGTACTCACTTTTTGAGTACACAAAAATAATATAAGCCGAAAATCTTTTCTCAAATACCTTACATTCAAAGTATCATTGTTCCGTGGATCAGCAGGGTCTTGACTGCCAACATTTGGTAAGAACGAGAACGTAGATGGAAACCAAGGAAAAATTTGAATCCGCACTCTCCTGAAGAATGCGAATGAAAGGGGAAATGTTAATTGCCCGAAAGGAAAAAGATAGAAAGGTAAAAGCTCGAAAAAAATCTCGAAAGAAAAAAAATCCCGAAAGGGAAAATCTCGACAGGAAAAAGACCGAAAAAAATCTAGAATGAGCAAAATATCGAACTACGAAATTTCGAAAGATAAAATATCGAATGTAAAAAATCTCGAAAGTTCGAAAAGTAAAAGGAACACTGGATGACGGATAAGTCATTCTTTTGTCTTTTTCTTTGTATTTTTCGTCGATCTATTCACTCTTCTGTGTATATATAAACAAGTGATATACGCAAAAATTCACTTATCGTAGTTGCATAACAAGTGGTTGTATTTTCATCTAATGACCTCGATCGAATTTATTCCTAGTAACAAAGGTAAACCTTTGTTAGTCGTAGATTCGTATGTATACCAATTGAACAAATCAACAATTAAAATAAAGTATTGGAAATGTGAAGTCAAGTATTGCACAGCCATGGTACATACAGATGCAAATGATCAGTTTCTTAAAATAAGTGGTCAACAGCACACACATTTATCATCACCAGAACATGTTCAAGTTCGTAAATTAAGAAAACGTATGAAAGATCGTGTTACACAAGAAAATATTGCTATTGGAAAAATTTATGATGATGAACTGGCACGATTACAGCTTAGTCAAACTGCTCTTGTTGTTGCACCAACAGCTGAAGAAGCAAATAAGTTTACAAAAGCAGCAATAATTAAAACATCTATTATTGATTTTTACATAGAATCTGATATGAATCGTGTTCAGCGGCAACTTACTCTAGTTTTACCTGAATGTTGTAATTTTGAAATACCTGCTCCATATTCTGAAACTATTAGTGGTTGTCGATTTTTGTTGTCTGACATTAACATGAACAAGAAACGTATTGTTTTATTCGCTACAGATCGACAAGTACAACTTTTTTCAAAGCAAAACATGTATTAAGGCCGCTCTCCCCCTTCGAAAATCATGTTTTTGGAAAAAATGTTTAAATTGAGGTTTTATTGAAGGAAGATGCGCCCGAGTCTCCTCTTTCAGAATATGTATTGAATTTCTAGAAATAAGCGATTTTTGAGTATTCTATACAATTTTCTTTGTAACCGACCAGTGGTTTTTAAAGGTTTTCAGCAGTTTCTCGGAAATATTCGCAGCTTTTTAGAAGATATCTCGAAAACTGATAACACCATCGTGCCCGACATGTAAAGTTGCCTTTATGATCAAATTTTCACAAATAAATGTGGTTTCTAGCATACGTTATAGCATTTTTTCGCCCAAAAGCAACACCTATACTATTTGGTTAAAAATCTATTTTCTTGTTTATCTGATGAACAAATATTCTCAAATTTTGAATGCGTAGGTTGCTCTTTACATCGGACATGATAGCAATATTAGTTTTGAGGAAAACATCTAGGATTCATTTTTCTCGAAAAGAGGCTTAAAAATAATTTTCACTTTGTTTGTCGGTTTTCTCAAAAGTCATTTTTATGCCAATTATCGACAGTAGAACAAATTTTTTTTCAATATACTTCATCCGAGAGAGCTGCGGTTTTCTTTAATCAATGCATATGTGTGTAATGCTTGAGATTAGGGAAAGGGATTTTCTAGTTAATTGAAAACCTTAGAGAAATCCCGGGTTTTTCAGAAACTTTCTGGGAGGATTTTGAGATTTTGTGGGTTTTGGTCGTTCCAAAATTGAATAAAGGAGAATTTTAAAAATCCCTTCCCCTCAGCCCAACCGGCAAACAGTTTGTTTGCAAATAAATCAATCCCCGATTCAATCCGTTGACATATAGTGAAAAAGAATTTGTACTGCCGAAAGTTCCATTTTAGGCCTGGATCTCTAGAAAACTTCTGAACACTCAGGTTTGGAGAAGTGAAAAAAAATTCATAACTTTACTTTGATGTGTCCAACATTTATGGAAAGTTTCATGGAAGTCTCATGCACCGTAACAAAAATAGACTTTGGAGGGGAGGAGAGGCCTTAATGGATGGGACATTCGATAGTACTCCTCCATATTTTTCACAAGTTTACACAGTTCATGCCATTAAACATGGAAAAAGTATATAGCATATATTACTTAAATGTATTCATCTCTATTTTTTTCTAGCATTTCCGTGTGTGATTGGTCTGCTGACTGGTAAAACTAATAGTAGTATATACGAACGAATGTTTGATGAGCTAACATTTCATGCAAATCGTTTTAACATATTTTTCGAACCTGAACGAATTACATCAGATTTTGAAAAGTCACTGATCAATGGCAGTATCCAATAAAGTAATTTGAAAATATCAGGTTAAACTTACTAATATGCTATATTATTTTTAGTTTTCAAGTGCTTATCATAGTGGATGTTACTTTCACTTTTCGCAATGTATCTGCCGCAAGATACAAAGTTTGGGTCTTAGTACTTTATATAGAGACGATAAGGATGTACGGTCAACCTGTCGTCAACTCATGGCTTTACCATTTTTACCTATGGAAGAAATAGAATTCGCATTCGAGGAGTTAATGGAACAATCACCAACTGTGGTTAGTCCTCTGATTGGATACTTTAAGAATTATTGGATGACACAGATGTCCATTAACATGTGAAGTGTATCTCATTTAGATACACGAACAAATAACAGTGTCGAAGGTAATTTTGCCTTAATTTCACCTGCTTTCTTAAAAATTTCTTTTGTAAGTTAGCACAACCGTTTTAACAAAAGGATAAATCAACATCATCCGAATATTTGACACTTCATTTCTGTTATTAACCTCTTGGATACTGCTGTCTTCAATTGAAGACAAGCAGAACGAAAGAATTTTTTTTTTCGTTCTGTCGTATTGATAAACAGCTGTGAAACGAAATGTTGATTAATGTGCCTGTATCAGTCC